TATCTGAATTAGCTTTCTACCCTAATAGATATTAACTGCTTTCAATTGCACTTGAATTTCTCAGATATATCTAAAATCTTCCAGTTCTTTTTCCATTAATGCCACATCAATAATTAAATAGTAATGCAACAGTTCTGAATTCTCAATACATTTTGTGTCTTTCCATTTCCTTATTAGAAAACAATATGTAGTTTATTTCATAAGGAAATTCCTTTTGTTGAAACTACTCATGAAAAGATAGGCTAGACCCAGTAAGACATTTTAATAAAAAAATAATGTGTTATCCTCATATTTCACATCTGAAAGCTCTTTAACTATCACTCTGCTTCCAGATTACTTTATGTAATAATTCAATCTTTAATGCCCTTTGTTTTTATAAAAATTGTTTTAAATACCTAAATATAATGTAGAAAACCTAACTGAAAATAAATTTCATAAATATGATTAGTATCTCCATATGACTCCTAGGGTACTAGCTTGATAGATGGCTGACCCTCAGATTATAAACTAAATTACACTGCTATGAAATATTATTTAACATCTACCTAAAAGAATGGTTGCTACTTGACAGATCTCAATGATTTAGATGTATCATGTTCCATGCTTCATTTCATTTCAAAAATCTGTTAGAATTAATTTATTTTGTTTGATGTATATGTGTATGTATGTGTGTGTATGAGTGAGAGAGCACACACATGTGTATTGCAAAGCTCATCAATGTTTCTCTTTGATCAGGGCATAGGTCATGAGAACTTGCAATTACAAAGGGTTATAGCACCTATTGACAGGTCTATAGATTCAAGGAAAAACTTCATGCCTAGGAAGTTTCGAGCATCACTGAACGAAGGAATAGTCTTCCCATTATCCTAGTTCTTGTTTCATAGTTTCATTCCCCAGCAACCAGGAGCAACTCCCAAATCATTTCAGACTTGTACAAGTTTCCCACCTGGGACAAAGGCTCCTTCCCAGTGCCATGACAACCACACCAGCGTCACAAGCACTTGGGTTCACGCAGGAAAATGAAAATTCTGAAAGGAAGCCAGGAGATAAAGGCTTTCTATTCCCTGTTTCCCACTGGTAGGAAGTAATTACAAAAATTACTTTAACACAAAGCTTCCAGTGAATGAATAGTTTGTAATTTGAAGGGAGAAGTCTAAGGGTCTAAGGATTAAATAAAAAACAGTAAAAGCAAATGATGTCATACAAGTACAGCCTTGCCCCCTGCCCCCTGCCAAAAAAAAATCTCTTAAGAGAATATGTACATTGTCATTAATAAGAATAATGACATTCAGTTTGCATTCAATAAAGTGGAATAGTTTAGGGTTCTTGAGTGTTGAAGAAGCATAATTTTTATTTTATTTTTAGTCCTTGTTTTCCTAAGGATACAACATCCTCCTCCCCTACAGTGATAGGTAGCAAACATCTTTCATGAGCTTCTAATTCTGTGCATTGTACACCTTCTGGTTCTCAATGATACAGAGTTCAGAATGAGAGCATAGAAGACAAGCAGAGACATTCCAAGCATCCACAGCCAAGAGCTTTCACCTGGCTCCAAAGCTAACCCTTACCCATGTCTACCATAACATGTATGCAAGGCCATTCATGCACTGAATCTGGGACATTATTATAAAAATATACTATGCCTTTCTTCACTCATTATTACCATTTATCTTCAAACTCAGTATGTCCAAAGTAATTCTGACTTGTCATCTTCCATCAAACTTATTTGTATTTCTCATTATAAATACCCAAATTCTGGAAAGAGAATTCTCCAGTCTTCCAGATTAGAAGTCCAAGTCATCCCGGATCACTCTCTTTCTCTGTCTCCAACTCTAACATCTACTCCAACAAATCACCCCATGGATTTTACTTCAATCTCAGTCCAATCTGACTCCTCTCTACTTCACTCCTACTCACCTATTTAGATGATAATTATTTTTTAATTTAGAATACTTGCAACCACCTACAGGCTTCAAATGAATGGCAGTTCTCTTACTAAGCTGACAAAGCAAGAAATGTCGCCAGGCAATTACTGTGACAACTAGCAAAATGCAGAATATTTCATTACAGGGGCCCTACTGATGAAACGGTAGGGTCAGAAGTGCTTTGCTTAGCTCAAAACCCCTCCTTATGACTTGTCACAGAAATTTATGAAGACCATGGCCCTCAAATGCTTTTCTTTCTAAATAAATCTTATCTAATGTATTTTCCTCTTTATATAACTTTTAAGGAAAAACCTCATGTGTCTCCTAAAATGACATTCCTGAACTGATCCAGAAAAAGCACTATTTTATACTATACTAGAGTTTTCACTTATAAATCAATATGCTTTTCTATTCCTAGAATCTGTTCAATTTTACATCCTAAAATGATGGAATAAGGTATAGAAATATATTCTTAATTTTCAGTTGTATTTAGTCTATGTAATAGCTTGGCTCTTAGTCCTATGACCTAGAAGTTAAAAAAAATAAACATAGTACGGTGCATTTAAATTCTTAGTCTGAATCTCTTTTTACCCTGGGTAAAATACTGTATATCTACAATATTCGATATATGGTTACAATTTAAGATTCTCAAAAGGATGTAAACTGATATCACCAGTAAATCAGTTCAATCAGAACTTCATACATAAGAAAACAAAAACTGTTAAGCTCATTCTAGGGTTTATCATGGAACATTCTAAGAGAACTGAATGTTTCTATTTTGGATCAAGTTTCAAGGCAATTGAGAGTTAACAAAAGAGCCCCTTTTTGCTTTCACCCACGACCACTGAGAATCTTTCCAAAATGAACTACTCTCATTTGTGGAATACTTTTACTGTGAGGCAATCCTCTCTATTCCTGAGTGAAAAACTCAAAACAAACAGTCTCAGTGTCTACATTATAAGTTTATATGGATTCTAATACTATAAGCTTTTCTGTAATTTTAAAAATTAATGTCTCGAATCACCTTAATCCTATTGAATTCCTTTATACTAACATATTATGACCACTAAATTATTTTCTCTAGCATTGAAAAAGACGATAGGTATTATAGATATTACCTAGGTATTACAGGTATTGTGAGAATTTTTGTAAGAAAGTTCTCACAATTTTCTTATTTCAAGAAAAAAATAATCTTCTCTCCTACCTTATAAATATGAGACTAATGGAAGGTACCAGGTCTGACATTCAGAGAAACAGACATCACCAGGGGTTGAAGTGGAGCAATAGGACACAGCTGCCTGAACCTAGATGAACACTCAGGCAGTCAGGGCGGCTAATCTGGTCTCTGGCCCTCTAATACAACCCCATAACATGGGGGCTCTGCTTTCCTAAAAGATACTTAACCATGGCCTCAAAAGAGATATTACATGTGATTAACACATAACAACCAAAACATCAGAAAAAGTACTGTATCCCACTATCTACCCTTTGACCAGTCTTCTGACTTAAAATGACATTTTTAAATCATGAAAATATAAGTGAGAATTAATAGTAATGTATCCATGGGACAAGCAATGTCTAACTATTCAACTTTAACAAAACTCCTAGTAGGTAAATATTTGCGTAAAACAATTAATGCTAATAATCAATAACAAAAACAACATCCAGCATTGATTAAGCACCTGTTATTGATGAGGGCTACAGTAAGCAATTTTCATAAATCATTTCTAATACTTATTGTAATTGTGCAATATATTTTAACTGTATTCACAGATAAACTCAGCAAGGTATTAATCCAAGGCAAACAGAACAACTTTACATTGTAGAATGACCACTTACACCTGCCTCCTTGACTATAGTGTCTTCTCTTTTTCTTACGTCACAGTGACCCTCTAAGATAGGCACACAATTCATACTGCTGCATCTACTGTACAGACATTCTGTTACACACCAGAAATTTTTTCAAAAAAATTTCAGGTCATATTTATTTAAAGTTTATTTTAAATTTTATGAGTACATGAGAATACCATTTTAAAGGAAGCTAGTGGCATTGAAAATCAAAATAACAACTAGGTAATAACTCAATCCAGAAGACAGGTAACTAACTGTTCAGTTGAGAAGATTACTTATATCTTTGGTGTCTCCCAAGGGGAAATTTCCATTATCCTTATTTAGAAAATCAGCCTGACAATTAAATGTAGATTTTTGAGATGTGGTTTAAAAAAAATACACAGATTCCCAATTTTCCTTTCTTCTCTATAAAGGAAACTTTTACACCCAATTTTATACTCAAGAATATCTCTTTAATGCCAAGTTACTTTCAGATTTCATTAAAACGAAAATAGAAAATATTCATGTGCCATAATTTAACTTGACTTTAGCAGTCCAAACTATTTTGAAATAAAATTCAATTCAACAGATGTATTCAACTCATTGTCTCCACATGTAAAAAATTTTAGAAAATGGACTTTCAATTAAAATAGCATACTTATTTTCAAATATATCTATCACACTGGTCTTAAAATATAACTCTTAACTATGTCAGTATATCTATTTTAAATATTTTAAAATAATGTTAATGAAGCATAATTTAGATACTTCTAGAAAGCACAAATATTTTCAAATTTTAATGTAAGCTAGAGAAATTCTATTTTTAATGTGAAACTTTTAGAAGAAATCATAAATAACAACCATACTGGGGATCTAATGATGCTCTGCAATAAGATAATGCCTGTAACACCTACATGCATTTTTAAAAAGGCAAGCCATATTTCATGTTTTATAACATGAAATGCTATTAAACACTTGCCAACTGAGGTTGGCAAAGGTAGGTTTACAGTTGTGAATACACAAGACACAAGAGTTTATTTTTGTATTATTATTTATTTATTATTGTATTATTTTCCACACAAACAACAGTAAACCTACTTTTACCAACCCCTGTATAAGCCTTTTTTGCTTCCTCCCCATTATACGAAAGCACACTGACAATCACATTCTCTCGATTGATGAGAGCATTGTTTTCATCCTATCTTAAAATGATGGTTAGTTATTAAGCCCGGTCAAGGCGCCCACCTCTGTGGTAGAAGTCGCTGGGCATGTGTACAGGAGCCCGCTCCACTGCTGATCTCTTGTAGACAATGTGCATCCTGCCTTTTTCTTCCTCCATCTGTTTCCCTCTCTCCAAGGGTTCAATGAAATACTCGTCATCATCACTTTTTATCATGCCAGCCTAGAGAAAGAACAAAATGTGTAAATTTTTAAAAGAAATATTTATCATCTTTACCTTATGAGTACCTCCTTTTTAATGGTAAGATTATAATTGGTAAAAGCTAATGCTTTTTCTTTCCACTTTTGGCTACAAATTTTAAACGGTTTAAGGTATTATGAGATGTCAGTAATTCACAGGAGGTATACATTCATGTATGACAGGAATAAAAAATTCACTTAAGGTAGGATAAGAACTTTAGGTAGGGTACAAATAAGAAAATCATACAAAGTATACCTTTTGTCAGACTGCAAAAGAAGTGCATTTAGATATTCTACTTGGTATTTTATCTCTAAAAGAAATCTTAGGCAGCACATGAGCTCCAGAAACATCTCTGGTTTCCCATAACAACTCCTTATGGAACTTCTGTTCATGCCTGTTAATGTACTGTTTTTTTTTAAACTCATTTACATATTCCTTCCACACCACTATGGTATGAAATGAATAAGTTCCATAGTGCACTCAGCACATAAACTTATTTCTGCCTTTAAATAGCCTTTTTATGTTTCTTTTAAAACTCCAAATTTCCATCGCTATTATTTGAGAAACTCGTATTTGTTCTATCTTAATCTAACCTCATGATTTCGTATACCTTGTTTTCCTTCTAAATTTTCATCCGTTCACACAGAAAAGGTTATTCTTACAATCAATTCCTTCTACCTCTCTATTTAGTGTCTTTTTCTGAGTTTCATCTTTTGTTTATTTAGGAAATGCCAGGACTATATTTAGTATGATAGCAGAAGAGAAATGACTATTTTATTTGAAATTTGTTCTCCGTTAACTACCATGTCTATGCTATAGGCAAATACTTACAGCTCATTTATCTGCTTTAAAGGCCATAAACTAATATGTATGTTCACTTAAATGTCAGTGTATTTATTTGAAAACAAAGTTGAACAGTGTGTTAGTATGGGAACTGTAATTATTTCAAAAATAGATTGAGAAGCTAGTCATATTTTTCTTCTGAGGCTCTTATTCAATGTTTTCAAAGGTCACTGGCCTAAATGGAACGCAATGGGGGAGGGGAGCTTCTCATCCATTCTAATTCATGTTGGTCTGATGTCTCTACCACTATGTGCCAAGCAACACAGAAATGAAAGGTAGGTACACCTTACCAAATAGGATTTGTTTTCAGTAAATACAACTCTGACTGTAACTTTTCTATTCCACTAAAATCTGCTCCCTCCTTTTCATTCTGACGTCTACCACCAGCTACATTAGCACTATCCCCTCCACCCCCTGTGTAAGCCTCACAGGGAAGTCTTTCCAGCCATGGTGTCTCCAGATGCCAGTTCTACACCCACCCAGACACTGTGCACATGTAAACAGCCCTTGAACCTACGGGGTCATGTCTTGCAAGGAAACATCACCAGAGCCCTTTCACCATGGTTAGTCCTTACCATCTTAAAGGAACTTCTGGCCTTAACTAAAAAGAACATTGAGCCTGTGGGCATTCAATAGCACACTGATCTTCCAAACACAAACTCCAGTATTTGGAGTTGTCCTCCCATCTGGTCAATTACTTTTTCCTGTACTGTGAAAATTAGTGTTCTCACAAGTGTTCTGATTGCATCTTTATCCTTCGGAGCTGCTTTTCCTATCAATGGATTCAACTCCTCTACAAATAATTTTCCAACAATGGTTTCATGATTTCCAAATGTCATTTTTATTTTATGTACTGGTGTCATATTCTTACATATCTGTTCACCAGTAATTTTAACATCATTGGTTTTGCTTTTCTCAGGTACAGATGGGTTAATAATGTTCATAAAACATATCCAAACTAAAAACAAATGCAGTAAACATATAATATGTTAACAAACAGACCAAATAAAAGGCTGAAATGTCTAGTCTCATCACTAACACTATCTGTTGGTGTCAGGCAGTGTTAACTGTCTTTATCTTGGAAACACAGTTCTGTTGACACACATATACTTAATGTTATAAGTTGAAATTTATTAGCATGGGCACTTTTATATTCTTCTTTATTCCAGGCTTCTATGTCCTAAATCCATGCAGTCACTATGTCTTGTAGTTCCTTACATTCTTTTCCTGTTCTTCTATTTCCACAGCCACTTTCTTAGGTGCAGACCTCATCAGTGCTCATTTGGAATACAGAAACTGCCTCCTATCTTGAGACTCTCCATAGTCCAATACCTGACTCTGGATGAACACAGCAGTCACTGAAGCATTCAGCTACTCTGAGCAATGAGCAATGGCTATCAGGGACACTGGAAAGTGATGGGGTGGGCAGTGAAGATTAGCCCACATGCTTTAAAAGACATTTATTCATACACAGGTTCCATGATGTTCCTTTTCCCACTAGACAATAGGGAGAACAAAATTTAACACACCTAAGCCTCTCCCTTAGAAGGCAATGAACACTTAAGCCAGTTCTATCTTAATCTAACCTTGTGATTTTGTATATCTTGTTTTCCTTCTAAATTTTTTTTTGAGGCAATATCATTGGCAAGGCAAAGGCTGGGTCGTGTGACCTCCAATAATCTCATGGACAAAAATGTGACAGTCTACCCTTTTATTCACTAATTTAAAGAAAGTTAATAAACAGTACTGTACTAGACACCATAGTAAATAAAAATTCTCAAAGACATGGTTTGTTTGCCCTCCGGTTCTAGTCAAATAAATAAAAGATATGCCTAAAGTTATTCAATGGAAAAGTCCAGAAAGTGAGTGATATGGCACTTGAGAGTTAAATTAAGTGAGCTTTTTTTTTACTTTCATTCTTACTATACATCGCAAATTATAAGTAGGAGGTATTGATTCTACATCCAAAATTATTTTAAATCTACTTAAACTGAAATCTCCCTAATCTCCATCACAATGAGACTGCACTTTGGCTACTACTATTGTTCGCACTGCCTCACATTTTCACATCACACAGCAGCCAACTTTGTCCTTTCAAAATATCATACTAATTTTAGATAAACTAGGATGTGGTAACAAGTGGCCAGAATATGTATGAATGGCTCTAAACATCAGGTACTTCCTTCTTGCTCACATAAAAGTTCAAGACAGTCCTATGTAAGCTGGGAGGAGGTTCTGCTCCACAGAGACATGCAGGCGTCCAGGCTGGTGGTGCTCAGTACAGGCTCCCAAGTTTGCCCAGTGAGAAGGGGACACAGCAGGAGGAAGCCCACATGGGAAGTTTTTATGAGCTAACCTTAGTCGTGGTATTCACTACCGCCACTTACTTTCATGGATAGGATACACAGCCAACTGGAAAGAGAGCCAGGGAATGGAATCCGGCTGCGTGCCCAGGGAGAAAAGACAAATGGATTATGATGAACAGATGGCAGTCTCATCCTCAAAGAAAATTATGCCACTTTTGTCTAAATCACTTTAATTGCTTCTTACTGCACTTAAAACCACCCTCCCCACCATGCCTCTCAAGGCCTGCATCACCGGGGCCCTGCCTACCAACCTCAAGTAGTGCCATTATCACTTCCTCTCTAGGCCCCAGAATTAGGGACCTTTGTTCAGTTTTGGTTTTCCTTAGATGTTCTCAAGTTCTTTATAGACTCAGGCCTTTGAAATGCAGTTGGTCTGCCTAGCAGTCCCTTCTGCCACCATGCCTTATTTCCCTTAGCTAGTTTTTGTTTTCACCCCTCCAGGTCTTAGCTTCAATGCTACTTCCTTAAAAATGATTTTCTGGCCCTGGCCAAGTGGCTTGGTTAGAGTGTCATCCCATGCACCAAAGGGTTGTGGGATCTGAAGTGCAAAAGCCCAAGACATGCTTGAGGACTGTATTCTTTTCACATAGAGAAGAGCCTGTGCAGGGCAGTTCCAGGAAATGAGGCTATGGAGCACTTGTATTTCCTCAACCTGCTATGCAGAAAATTCCTAAAATCTGAACTCCGAACCATGGCCTACAAAGCCCTACATGGCTGGGCCTTGTCTACTTCTCTGGCTTCTCCTAATGTTTTATACCTCGCTCTCTCTGAACCAGCCACATGGGCTTTGGTCCCTCAGGTACTGCCCCCATCTACATGAATTAGCTTCCCTTTCACTCTGTTCCACCCTTTGTTCCCCCCTTAAAGACATCTCCTTGATGATTGTCCATCAACCTTTGGGGCACAATTTTTATCAAACATGAACTTTTGACATATCACTGCTATTTCCCAGGGCCCAGAACAATGACTGGCTGAAAGTAGGTGCCTAATATTTTAGGGACAGTGGGAGAAGGAAGTAATGTAAAAATTGAACAAGTGAAAATAAAACTCCTTAGAAGGAAATTGAAAAGGAATGGCAAGAAAGGCAGGAGGAAAACAGAGCATCATGGGTAGCTAAGTAGGAGAGTTTTAGCAAAGTAAAAAGTAACTGCAATGAAGATGACACAAAGAATAAAGACTGTGGGAAGGAAATTAGACAAACAAAAGTTTCTAATTAGAGTAATGGGGGCTGAAGAGATATTACAAAGACTTATGGAACCACATACATTTCAGATCCTAGATTATATGGAACCATCACAGTTAGAGTCTTCTGCTCTTCCCACCACACTATTGATTCTTCTCCCATAATAGCTAGGAGTGACTTTTAGACAAAACTGCTAATGCATAGTTAGTGAGGGGGGGAGGGGAATCATCAATACTAATAATTAAGTGCTGAAGCCTCTTTTATCCACTGAAATATTCATTTAGGTACTCGCTCATTCACCAAGTATTTCTGGAAGCTCAAAGACCATGCACTGTCCCACCATAGTATTAAGTAACTGACTCTCCTGCTCCCAGGGCCCCACAGTTCTATTTCACAGGATACATTTATTACATTCAACAATGGGGTGACTTGAAGGAATACAACCCAATGAATGTAAAGTAAAAACTTTCTGCACTCTTAAATACTAGTATTATTTATAATGCTGCCAGAAATTTACAACTTTTAAATTATAACTTTGAAAATTTTAGAAATGTCACACCAATGATTACATGGGGTTCTAAGAGACTCTA